TAATGAAACCTTTTTTGGCTACTAACACCAATGTTTCTGACAGTGTTGTACAGGTAATACTGTAAACAGAAACAATATATTATATCATCAAACAATTCTATCAAACAAGTTGCAAAAGAATTCAAATGCTGTTTCAGCTGTTTAATTGTCGCATTCAAACCATGATGATTCATACATGTACAGTTCAATTAAAAAATCCCAAATCTTGTATAAACACAGTCCTAGCATACGTGTACGCTTGTAAGTCTTGTACGCTTGAATTTCTTTTCAATAATAACACTCCAATATAGTAGATCAAGGATATATGCCATCATTCCCATCAATATTACTCACTCAGAGAGTCAGAGTGAACCAAGAGTATGAATTATTACCATAACGAAGTCTGTTATTTTGCCCAAATGAATTAAAGTATGCAAAAATCAACTACTTAATCCCTTCACCACTATTTCGGACGAAAAGCAACAAAAAATTCGTCGAAATAAGCACATTTTCAGGCAAAATATTAGCAAATATATCGTATTCACTCATATTGGCCGCGCATGTGAACGCCACAGGGGGTATGGGTCCAATAGCTTATGGATCGACCAATCAGGATCGTTTTTCAATCCCGTGTGGCCACATCCTCGTTCCCAGGGCTTCTCGGCTGCCTGCGTTGCCGTAAGCCCTCATCCTCGTTCCCAGGGCTTCTCGGCTGCCTGCGTTGCCGTAAGCCCTGGGACAAGCCGAAGCAGAAGTGATTTGATTGGTCGTTGGAAATAGAGTGAAGTATGAAAAGTTTATTCATCAAGTGGATGTTTATATTCGGCAATATGGCTGCCTTCAAGGAGTGCGCGTTCGAAATACGAAGAAATACAAACGTATACTGCCTGTTTTCTATGGATTAATGGAGATAATTTGCAAACAGAATGAAAGAAAATAACAAAATGGACAATTATAGAGTAGAAGTAAGCAACAATATCGAAGAAACGTAAATTATGAAGCCATTAAAAAGTTTCTTCATTTTAACATTTTCTTGTTATAAAGTTGTCTATTATTAAAACATTGTGCTCAAGTATAATTGTAAAATTTTAAGCACCCTGTAAATGTAAAATGTTTAATAATATATATTTACGATAGTAAAGTTTTAATGGTGTAATATATTGTGTTTTATTATAAATTATTATGCTTTTGGTATATTGGTATTGGTCACTTGGCCTATTACCCGCCTATATTAAAATGACCCTATATTAAAATGGCCCTATATTAATATGGCCAATTGGAATTTTTAAATATAGCATATAGAATATTATAGGTGTATTTTACTATTTCTGAATTTTCTCAGTTGTATTATTGGTGAATAATTTTAATAGCTTTTAATTAAATACAGTGAATAAGCTTATATTAAGCATATTCAATTGCACCAGTCATTTGAATCCCTGCACCTTTGGCATACCAGAGGGGAATGCAAGGACAATCACCTCTTATTCACTTACTTTCAGTGTCAAAGTCGAGGAATGAATGAGGTCATGGGGGAGGGGGTCACTTATAGTCTTTTATATAAATGTTGAAATAAAGCAGTCGGCTATATAAATGCTGAAATAAAGCAGTCGGCTAGGAAAGGTTTAGTCTTTTATATAAATGCTGAAATAAAGCAGTCTGCTAGGAAAGGCTTTTACAGAACAGTAAAGGAATGGTTTGGGAAATTTCAAGTAAAAATTCCAATTGAATACCTGGGGATGATAGGACCTGAAGAAATTTACCTTGACATTTTGTTCTGGCTGCAGGGGACTTCACTGAATTTCACACACCAAATTAAGTGAATGCCCCTGGTATGCCCGAGGTGGGGGTCTCGAATTCTTGTGTCATATTGGAAGAGATCATGAATTTACACTGTTTCCTGTCAACAGTTCAGAATAGAATACTTATTCTGTTGACTTATTGCAAATCTTGTAAGAATTGAAATTATAAAATAAACTATTATTATTGACAAAACTGAAAATTTGTATATGTGTATGCAGGCTTCTAGCCAGGAGACACCCTACCATGTCTGTATAAAAATTGATTTTAAACAAACCATTACAAATATGACATAAAAGTTGCTTTGTATTCTGAAATTCTGGTTTAAGCCTCCTGCTATATAGACACATTGAACTTGAAAACTTTTCATATTTTTAATGTGGAAATGTGTAGTAATATACTGATAAATCAGAATTTTAACCCCACCTCCCTTACCATCACTCAGGTATACATCCTGTTGTGGTGGAGATTTAAATTGGACACCTGGATTGATACTAGAAAATGCTTAGTCACACTTCTGGATAATGGGGGTGGGGGGGGGCAATGAACTCCATGATGTGAAATAATTGTAAGAAATTTAAAAATTGACCAGTGATAACTTGACATTATGTAAGAGAGTCAAATTTGCTAACACGACCCTCCAATCATTGGCCATCCCATTTGGCCTCAAATGATTTGGCCCCTATCTGAAACAGAATGTGCACTTGCATGCACATGTAAAAAATATATTGGAATGCAGAAAATATTGTTATACTTTAATCTGAACACAAAAATTTCCCTGAAACAATTAACATACATTGGGCCATACAGTCATGCACATAGTTTTGACTGTCAGATCAGATGTATAAAGTTCAGCATAGTGAGTTGCATTCATGGCCAAAGACATATTAGCTTAATTATTTTACATAATTATTTTTCGTCATTTGCCACGCATGTAATCGGTGAAGGATTCAGGATTATCATGGAAATAACGTTTTAAACGTGCTATATAAAACGGTGTTCAATATTCATACTACATGATGGGCATATGGCCAAACAAACACCTTGTGCTTTTTTGCTCAAATTTACGCACGCATGATTTTCTATACATAATATAGATTTAAATCTAGCAATTCAAATCCAAAACTCATGGGGTCATGCATGACATCTATCTATAATTTATATTTTCTTGAAATGTTAGGTGATTCATTGTTATTGCCGTTGTTGTAACCCAGTAAACAGACACACACCGCCGTTTAGACATGTCAGTATGTCACATGTCGTTCTTGTTCCTTTTATATACATACGATAGACGATAAAGCTTCGAATTACTTCTCTTTAATTTCCAGTCCGGCTTTGTCCAGTCTTTGAAGTGACTTTACAAGCGCGTGTTGAAACAAGTCATCTGTACAAGAACCCATGATGTTTCGAATCACAGCGGCCACTTCGAGCACATTTCGACTCGATCATGTTTACATCATACATGAAAATTGATACATGTAATACGAGACCGAAATATGGTTGTATTTTGACGAATATTAACGATATAACGAAATATAAACCCCCAATATGTATAATTCCATTAGGTGGTCTGTATATATTCCCTTGTGGTGGAAAATACATCGAAACAAAATAAAAATCCAATATTTTCTGCTCACATGTACACGTCTCCACTCCTCAATAAAAATTAGTGCATAGTCAGCAGTTTTAGCTTGCAGCAGAGCGCGTTTACTTCCGTAAAACACCAGAATTTGTGGTGTTCCGGTTTGGCTTGTCCCAGGGCTTATGGCAACGCAGGCAGCCGAGAAGCCCTGGGGAACGAGGATGAGCAGGTGCATGCTTGTCTTGCAATTTAATGTTGAGAACTCTCTAACGTTTATAAACGTTTGAATTTTAGAAAATCGTGTTTAAAATAAAAAAATGAAGCGATCGAGGCGAGTTTGAAGAATTACATTTGGACACTGTTTATATGTTGAAATATTTACATATTTACACTTTACAGACTAGATAATTCCGAATATTCGGAATCCGCATAATTTTGCAACTTTGGGAACTTTTTGACTTGTTTTCAAGTCTGTAAATCCTGTGTTATTTGTATTTAATTAAAAGGTTTCGATCATCAATAACATAATAATTATCTAGTCGGTAAAGTGTAAATATTCAACATATTTTAAATAAAACAGCGTCCAAATGTAATATTTCTTCAAACTCACCTCGATCCTTCATTTTTTTATTTTAAACACGATTTTCTAAAATTCAAGCGTTTATAAACGTTAGAGAGTTCTCAACATTACTTTCGTTAAATTGCAAGACAAGCACCTGCTCGTATTGATAGCAAAAAGCTACAAGAAACGATAAAAACTCACTCCATGAAACGATGCAGTTGTGCGCCATGCGGCCGACATTGATTCTCTCACGTGATCATGTGTTGTTTGGTTGTTCGTACTTTATGTAATAGTCCATATTATGTACTAATCGTAAAACGCACAGGTGACTGGTCAAAACTTATTTCGTATTTTAGAAATGAGCTCAAATCAATATTATATAATATATATGAAACGTATATGAACTCAACACGTTAAAATAATTTTGACATAATTTACGCATCAAAATTAAACAAAAAACAGGTGGGCCAAGGGTAGGGCCATACACTGGGCCATGGCCTAGGGCCATGTTTTACCTACACCCCAAATTTTGTACCAAAGGAAGAGAGATTTGTATCGCGTGCCACCAGAGGTTCTCTTCGCCTCGCGTAAAATAAATACGAGCGAGAACAAGGCGAAAGATACAGAACCTCTGGCAACCAGGGTAGCCTCACGGCTGTAGAACAAATCAAATTTCACGATACTAAAATCAAGCATTTCACATTTCAGACGAACAAATATTCACCATTCACGGCTCACGAAAATACCCTTTCCCACCCTCTAATAAAGGTCCGTTCTGGCGTTCTGCGCATCAGTTCTGCTCATAACAAAGGGGGACCCGCAGATATAAACATTGCCTAAATTTTCCATCTTTCGAACTTTTTTGAATTGAAACGTCTAGTTTATATTGATTTACAAGCATAGCGAACCAGAAAAGTGTCACATATTCAGTTCGTATATCATATTTTACAAATATAGCACTTCAAAATGTATAAAACAAAACGTTTGTTTACATTAATACGGACTTTAATCTTTAATCAGCATCTTTAATAATTAAACTTAAAAATATTAAAGAAAAGTGAAAACACTTAAAAAACTTACCATTAAGACAGGCTGTTCATTTCATTCAATTTGTTATAAACCAGTACAGCGATGTTGCGAAATTTCCGGCCGTCGACTTTCACAACAAATATCATTGAACATCACAATATAAAGTCGATAACTGCACTTATTTTTTCTCTTTACTACAGAATCGTTTTCCCTGTCCGTTGAGTTATAATTTCCAAAACTAACCAGTCGCTTTAACGTAAAATAAGCGGGTATTGGTGAACAAAAATGCCCTTTGATGACACGAAGTAACGGACGCCATCTTGTCTTCTCCAAACATTACAAATTTTCCCGCCAAAAACTCTGTGGTGAAGCCGGAAGTCCCGTATGAAACTGACGTCACAGGGTGGTAAAATATTTAAAAAATACACGCACTATTATGAACTAAATCCAATTTTAATCTCTCAGTACCTTCGCTATTTTCGCTTTCCATATATTGTTCGACCCAACAACGATTGTTACACAACAATTTTTGCCCGCTAATCATTTTGCCCGCTATTAATGAACTCAGTATTTCATATTAAATGTTTTATAAATTTCAGACATTTCATAATTTCATGTTTCGCTCGCTACTCTGGTTTAAAATACATAACAATAGATACTCCGAAAATTGAAAGCATTTTGAAAAATTTATTTCGACGTTTCGACTAAACTATAGTCATCATCAGGAAATGAATGGGATATTACATATGTACAAGTATATATAGTGAAGTATATAACAAGATATAATCAAGTAACAAGATATAGTAACAAGATATAGAAGTATCATCCTTCACTATATATACTTGTACATATGTAATATCATCATCATTCATTTCCTGATGACTATAGTTTAGTCGAAACGTCGAAATAAATTTTTCAAAATGCTTTCAATTTTCGGAGTATCTATTGTTTTGTATTTTATCAAAATACTCAGTGGTTCCCGTATAAACTCTGGTTTAAATAAATGATTACAAAGCCCAGTCGAATTGTAATGGGTCTTGATTACAATTCGACCGGGCTTTGTAATCTGCATTTATTTAAACCAGAGTAGCGAACGAAACATGATAGGCTAACCTGGCAGGGCTCTCACAATCAAATTTAAGAATTCCTTAGATTTGCCTAAAAAATTCTCAAAATTTCCTCAGATTTCCGTAAAATTCCCTAGACAAACATAACATAGTAACATGAAGTATTTCCTTAACAATACGTAATTCACGTGGAAAATACACTTCAAAAATTAATAATTTATACAAAAAATATTAAGAATAATGATGTGTTTAATGTTTTAAACATGAGCGGTTTCAATCTCACGTTTTTCGAAGAAAACGAAGACGCGGAAGAAGAGTCCGGATCAGAGTCAGCAGACGAAGGACCGCCTGAAAAGAGTCAAAAGACAGCAAAAAAGGTATATGTACAGCAATTCAGACATCAGTGGTTAGAGGATACAGAATTTAAGGATTGGTTGGTACGCCCGCGTCCTGGGGAAAATGCTTGCTCCTGCAAATTGTGCAACAAGTCAGTATCGTGTCGGAAGACTGCTCTTCGACGACACACTCAATCTGCACAACACAAAAGGGCACTTTCAGAGATAGCGGCTGGACAAAGACAAGGCAACCTTGTTGAATGCCTACAACGTCAAAACGAAATCACCACCTATAAAGAAACAACAGAGGCTCGAATGTGCTCCTTCCTTGCACAGCATAACCTGCCATTGAGTTTGATAAATAATTTGATGAGTTTGTTCAAGTCAGTTGCACCTAAAAATGGGAAAGAAGTCGAGATCCTCAAAGGGATCCATTTGTCATCCACACGGTGCACTAACATTATAAGGCAAGGTGTTGGATTGTATTTTCAAATGGAGCTTGTGGAAATCTTACGAAAATCGAAATCGTATTTCAGCATAATTCCTGATGAAACAACCGATGTTTCCACCGAAAAGCAATTAGGAATATGCGTGGTATATTTTGATGAAAGCGATATGAAGATTGTCACCAGATTTTTGACATGGTATCTGTCGTAGACTCAACTGCAAACGGGCTTTATCAAGCAATCAAGAACGCTTTTAATGAAAAAGCAATTCCAATGGAAAATATCATAGGATATTCCTCAGACACAACGAATGTCATGTTTGGTGAGCAACATAGCGTTGTGTCCCTCTTGAAGCAAGATGTTCCACATGTTCTTGCCGTAAAATGCAGTTGCCACTTGATCCACTTATGTTCATCATACGCGTGCCAAAAGCTGTCTACTTCGCTGGAAGATCTATGTAGAAATGTCTACTCGCATTTTAGCAGATCAAGTTTGAGACAAAAGGAATACCAACAGTTTCAAGAATTCGTGGAAGCTGAACCTCACAAGTTGTTATGTTTAGCCCAAACCAGATGGTTGTCGTTAGAATCGTGTGCTAAAAGGATTCTAGAGCAATGGAATGCCCTTCAACTTTACTTCACTTCCTTTGTTGCAGAGAAAAGAGATCCTTCGCATACTACGGAAAGTATTCTTCATGCCCTGCGCAACAAGTACCTTAAAGCCCAACTAGAGTTTTTGAGCGCCCAACTGCACAGATTGAACGATTTCAACACGATGTTTCAAACATCAGATCCTGTCCTGCATCATCTCCATAGCGAAGTTAATAGGCTGCTTAAGTCTATTTTGTCTGATTTCATGAAGTTGGATGTCGTTAGAAGTTGTGATCCATTTACAGTATCCATTGATGATCCAAATCAAATGGTTTCTATTGATCAGGTGTACCTAGGAATCCAAGCAACGACAACACTGTACGAATTAATTGACGGTGATCGTGATCCAGAAGCAGCTGGACAACGTTGTCAAGAAGTCAGGGAAAACTGTTTGGCGTTCATGTTGGAGGTCGTAAGACAAATCAGGCAGCGTTTCAAACTGCAGGATTCTGCATACACTCTTCTTGAATTTTTAATACCGCAGAACGCTGTCAATTGCCACCCGCCTACACTACTCCAGCTGTTTAATAAGTTCCCGTACCTATCCAACGTTGCAGACAAAGAAGTTGTTGATTCCGAATGGAGAAAGCAAGCACTTGAAGAGTCCAACGAAATCGACCCGAATGAATCATCGTTGCAATTCTGGAAGCGAAGGCTTGACGCACATACTTTCGACGGAAGAAAGAAATATCCCAATTTGAAGAAAGTGGTTGGCTGCATGATGTCTCTTCCTTCTTCTAATGCAGCGGTCGAGAGATTGTTTAGCGAGCTGAAGCTTGTGAAATCCACCATGCGAAACTCTTTGAAAAGAGAAAGCCTCGTTGGTCTTATACACACCAAAGAAGGCCTCAATGTGCACTCTCTCTCAGCACATGATTTGACGGTGAATAGAGAACTTTCCATCCAACTTAAGAACGTCAAAAGTAATGCAACTGATACGCAAGCTAACGAACTAATCCTGCAACAACTTGCAAAACCGTAACACAACTGGCGAAAGGCTACAGTTATTTGCTTGAGCATTCTAAATTGATATTGTTGTTGTCATTCTAATGACGTAATGTATTGTATTAGTATAGTGTAAATAATTCGTTCGAACCTGGACAGCTAACACTGTTATACAGTATTGCTGCTAGCCTATACTAGTATAGTCAATAACAGCAAAGTTAACTAAAGAGTAAAGTTACATTCCTTCACAGTTCATCCATCACTTAATTTTTTAAGGATTCTAAATTGATATTGTTATCATTGCGTAATGTAGAGTAAATAATTCATTTTGAACCTTGGCACTGCTATTTTGATACTAGAGTGATTAGTGAAATGACTGCAAGGTTTCGTTGGCATTAAAATATATATAGCTCAAAACATGTGTCAGTGAATAACCTGTTTATTAGCACGTGGCGTACAGTACTCGCAAATCAAATTATATTGTGTATTCATGATAGTCATGAATCAGCTGAATGTTTGTCACTTATCATTTTCAACACAAGTTGAACCAAATGTGCACAAAACCAGGCAAAAACAATTGAAACATAAGTTCCATGTACTTCCATCTAGCTTGACCAATATTTCAAAAAATTCCCCAAAAATTTCCCCAAAAAATGCGATTCCCCAGATCGCTCCCCAAAAATCCGCCAATTTCCCCGTTTTGGGGAAATTTCCCCAAAAGTGAGAGCCCTGTGTACTATAGTATCAGTGTATTTTAATTATACCATAGATTACATGAAGAATTTTAGGAAATAGAACATCGGTAGCAAGCCCGCGATATATGGTCACAAAACGAGCCCGCGATCCATGATATATTAGTGGATTGCGGTTGGAAAAAAAAAGTTGTGTTGAAAAAAAAAGTTGTGTTGCAAATAAAAAGTTGATGATATATTAGTGGATTGCGGTTGGAAAAAAAAAGTTGTGGTTGGAAAAAAAAAGTTGTGTTGAAAAAAAAAGTTGTGTTGCAAATAAAAAGTTGTGTTGCAAATAAAAAGTTGTGTTGAAAATAAAAAGTTGTGTTGAAAATAAAAAGTTGTGTTGAAAAAAAAAGTTGATTTTTGGCGGGGATGGGACACCATACTCTCTGACATTTCATCGTTCTCTGGCAATTCATCGTTCTCTGGCAATTCATCATTCTCTGGCAATTCATCATTCTCTGGCAATTCATCATTTTCTGGCAACTTCTCTCTACATGTATCAGGCAACTTATGAGAACAGTGTCCTTCTTTGTCACTGGGCGGCCTTTTAAAAATGGATGGATAACCGGAGAAGTCGTCGTCGTCATCATCATCTGAAGAGTACACTTTTTTGAAGATACTCTCATGCTTTTCTTTTTTTTCTCTTTTCTTAGGTTTTTTCTCGTTTTTTCTTCTTTTCTGAAAAAGACGTTCTTCCTCATCTGATGACGATTCACATGTCGACTCCGAGGGAAGTTCGATGACTTCACAAGGAGCAGCTCTTTTTAAGCATTCTCTATATTTGTTGCTTCCTCTTTTCATTTCGTGGAAGTCGATGAGATGGTTGTGTAGCCTTTTTACCACAGGCTTGCAATTTAACACCGGACATAACTTCCGTTTTAGCTTAGATTTTTCCGAGCCCTTTTTTTGTTTCCGCAGACCGAATGCATTAACAATGCCAACTGTATCTTCTTTTGCCCACTTATGGACTTGCATCATATGACGTGGAAGATGGACAACGTTAGCAGAACATGATGCAAATGGACATTTGTGTTTTGCTCTCATTTTTGTTTCCTTGGTTCCACTAGTGGTTGCATCACCGTTTTTCTCCCCTCATAGAGTTGCCCCCAAGCTAGCCACTGCTGCACCGGCACTTGAACCATCTACAGAAGAAACTGATCTGTCTTCCTGGTTTACCGCTCCATCAATTTGATGGTCCATTATGACCAATTCCTTGGTATAATCCTGTAAATGGAAAAACAATTCAGAGTAAACATTTATATGCTGTAATTCCATGTATGCACATAACATGCATACTAAGTCGATAGCTGAAAACCTCCTGTAACAGGTAAACTGCTTAACCAAATCACATGAAACTTTGCAAGCATATATACTGTAGAATGCACCCAGAATACTGTTTTAAATTAATCTAACAATATAATGGCATTATTTCAACCTGTACATCAGTTTAAACTAGTGTCTTGTGTTTAAATATAAGTGATTAGTTTCTGAAAAAACACATCTAGCACCCTTAAGTAATAGTCTGTGTGTTGTGACCCGATATCGTTCACTTTCATTAAGCATGTCTTAGATCTGAGATATATTTACGGGAACTGACACTTTCGAACATGATGAATTCAAATCCGAAAAGTTCCCACTCCGTAGACCCGCAGTTTTCCCACAAAATGCTATTTTATCTTCAATAATTTCATGACAAATTTTTCATTGTTCAGTGCGTGTCACTATTATTAATATTTGCAATAATGACGTCACAATATGAAGTTAGTGTTGAGCTTACAGTTACAATGGGTTAGGAGCTTACGATTGTATTTACAGTAAACTGGGGTTGTTAATGTGGAAAGATGAGGCCGTTTTGATATATCGTCAAATTGAGGAGCAAGTCAGCCTTTACTACTGATAAGTTTACTAGTTTATCTTCAATAATTTCACGACAAATTTTTCATTGTTCAACGACACGGATCGATGACGATACACGATTATGTCACTCAAAAGGACCAATTTCTGTCAACCAGTCTTCCTTTTAACAAAAGACCAGTTTTGCTCGAATCATTTTGAGTTACGTAATCTTATTCGTGTTGGACGTAAACAACATTTTTATCTTGTCTACAACTTTGAGAAGGTGCAGATAATTCCTTCTAATATCCTTAATTCAGGATCTATCTCTATAAAATCAAAAGGACGTTAATGTTAAGTCTTTGGGCTATGTCTCTGGGCTGAGAAATAATTCCTTACATGCGATTAAAATGGTTTATACAAACACAGGAAAAAAATTGAATTTCCCACTTTGGGAAAGAGTTGGGAAATATTCCCTATTTTGGGAAATAATTGGGTTTATTCAACCCATTCATGGGATTTTTGTAGATAGCTATGGGAAAAAAACGGTACAAAAATCGGAAATTATTGGGAATTATAGATGCATTACTTGGTTGGTCCCCTATTTTGGGAAATAATTGGGTTTATTCAACCCATTCATGGGATTTTTGTAGATAGCTATGGGAAAAAAACGGTACAAAAATCGGAAATTATTGGGAATTATAGATGCATTTGCTTGGTTGGTCCCAATTTTGGGAAATGATTGGGTTTATTCAACCCATTCATGGGAATTTTGTAAATAGCTATGGGCTATTATTACATTTTAATTTTGCTTATTTCTTTATCACAAACTTCAACAAAACGGCTGGCCGCCATTTTGAAAATTTCGATTTTGTTATATTCACCTATAGGTGAATATAACAGATTAATACGTCAAATTTGACCAATCACCTTGTAGGATTTGTTATGTTCACTTGTGCAAAAATACTAAATACGAATACCAGTAAAACAAAGTACTTGATATGAACTAGTGGTCTTGATCTTACAGTTAACTATACTTATACTTATGTTCTAAGAAATATTCTTATGAGCGTATAATGAATTTGTAAATGTTTCGTTTTAAAAAGTCAAGTGTTTTTTCTCCACTGTGCGGTACCTTCCCACTGCCCCTGAGCGATCCCAATAATAGACGCCCATGGCACAACATTTCTGGCATATCTTCCATGGGTCTCTCTGACAAAGACATTTTCAGAGTTATTGCGTTTAACAAAAAAGTACACATCGACTGTTTTTCTTAAGCAATCTGTTTTGTGAACATGTCCGTACCAAATATCATTGACATCTTCTCCCTGAATCAGAAGCATATCACCTTTCTCAGGATATACTGGAACAACTACTGAATAAGGAAGATTCTGTGACTTCCTCTGATAGTCGGCAACAGTAAATGTACCTTCAGCTGACTTATATAGAATCACTTTCCTTATAATATTTTCAATTTTGAAGAAGACAGCATTGGAGATTTCTTTGTCTCGGACCTTCATAAATCCACTCCAAAAATCTCTTAGGACTAATTGATCGTCTCCAATGATAGCGGGATGACAATATCCCTTGCACAGTAAAACTAACGAGTTCAGATCATTATTTCTATGTACCCGTAAGGATATGAAGCAATCCAATTTAGCAACATTTTCCTCCTGATCATTAATCCTCAAAACTACAGCGTCTCCGGATGAAAATACTGTCCCTCCAAATCCTCTGTTAGGCATGAAACATTTCTTTGAGACGAAAGCCGCTTCAGGTATATTCGAGACTGAGCAATCAAGTGTATCAGAGATTCTCTTCCTTTCTGTTCCTGTTAATGCCATAACATTATTATGCGCACCAAGAAGTAGTGAGGGTGGATTGGGCAGTTGTGTTTTAGCCTCTGATTTAGCTGCTTCAATTGAAGAGGCAAATCCCTAAAAAAGTAGCATAAACAGACCTTAAATGTAAGAATATTAAGATTTTACCCAATAAACCTGCCTCTCAATTTTTGTTTCTTTTAGCATGGCAGACACAAAGAAAAATTAATGTTTCTTGTTGATCTTAGGCCTGATCACATGCAAGCTTATTCTGCCTATTGTGCATAAACCATGAGTATAAATATTACGCAAAAACGAGGCTATTTGGTCAAAAGTGAATAATCAGTATTATTATATGGCATTTTAAAATTGTCTATTCTGATTGGTTGACAAGCGGTCTGTAAAAACCCATATCCGGACCGTGGTCTGTATTTTCCGTATCTGGACCGATGTCCCGGATGTCAAATGCTCACAGACTCAGTTCAGCCATATAATAAACTGATTATTGACCTCGCTTGTTCGGTCTGTACTGTGAAATATCAGACCTCTGTTTCTTGCATGGACCTCGCTCCTTCGTTGCTCGGTCCATACTAAAAACCTCGGTCTGATATTTCACAGTACAGACCTCACGCTCGGTCAATAAGCCGTTAAAGTTTATCGATCGGTTTTAAATAGAATTGTCTGAACACTCAGAAATGATAACTGTCTCTAAATGTAAAATTATTTAGCAGTTAAAACTATCGAACAGCACATATACTGTTGTAGGTCCAGAATAAAATACCTAAAGTAGCATGATTTTGACCAGTTCTAGATGTACAGCGTACTGGAATTGTATGAGCTCAATCAATTGTTTATTGCAAAATACTTAACTAACTTATAATTATACCTGTATAAAATTTTAAGAAATTCATAATCATTATATTAGAAACTGATGTCACTTTGGTGAACAATAAATGAAACCATACGCACAAGGCAACAACGCTTTAATATTTTTTTGCTATTATTTTGTATAATGTGTTACTTATTTTTATTGTTATTGACTTAGTTTTTTTCTTCTAAAACTCTTAGCACACTCATACCAAGTATCAACTCGCCAAACAAATTTCTATATGTTCATTTAGCACTTACAGTCAGGGTAAAGATCTTACCTGTTGCCTGTTTACTGTGCCAACACTTTTGTAGGGTTCACTTAACGGCTTTAAAAATTCCCGATGTGCTTCAGCAATGGCAAATGTAGCTTCAATGCCCTTACAGTTGCTCGATCTCTTCACATAACCTTTCACTGCACGTTCAAAAACAGCACACCAGTAATTATCAGGTGCAGAAAATGTTATGACATCCTCGTGTATATGTGTGAGATTATGCAAAGATATAGTACACATTTCCAAACCTTGGACCTCCTCAGCCATAATATTGAGACGCCATGATAACTTCTGATGTTGATCTATAAGTTTATCTGTCCATCCATCTCTTCCTGCATAGAAATGAATTTCAGTGAGCCTGGATACCATTGACTGTATCTCTAGCTCTCGGGGGTTTGACAAGCGATTCGGCAGAATGCAGTCTGCCATTGGGAAAGAAAACTTTTGTAAACCTTCAGCCTTCCATTGTCCCATTCCTTTAAGTTTTCCAATTAATTTAGGAACCCTTCCACTCTTAAGCTTGGAAGGCCATGGAAATACTTTGATTTGTTCATCCAGATATTCTTTGTCTATCATCTCAAGGTTAATAATTCTCTCCGCCTGATTTTTTACAACATTGAGACAAATGGTATGGAAAACATCATAAAGAAGATGTTTGCATATGTCAAAACTGTACAAAGGATACAAGTATTTGTGCAAAATGCTTATTCCAGTAAACCCTAATTCTGATGACATACGTTTCCGAACACTGCTTCTTGTTTCATTCTCAATGTCATAGAGAGATGTAAGTGAAGAAGAAATGTTTCTTTGCTCCCATGGATACCTGTAGTGAAAGCGATTTTCGCCGTAATACATATGTTTGTTGGAACTATCGTTGAGATGTTGGCCAACCATTTTACACCTCCTGCAAGCACACTTGCCTTGATTTAATAGTTTTCCAACTTCACATAATCCAGGGTGATCTCCAGCAAAGCAAAATAGAACCGTTCGCACGTTTTCTACCTCTTTCGGTTCATAGTTGTCTATGCTAATATCTGTGTGGAAATTAACTTTGAATCCATTAATAAATCCAGTGCAAATATCATCCATCAATGGCTGTAGGAATGGATCTAATGCTTCAGGGATGTTTGGGACGGAATGTGACGGTACAAACCCTAACACATAAACCTCATCTACATGATTTCTGTCCTCCTTTTTCATATTAGCAATTGACACTTCTATTGAGCCACAACTTCGAAGACTATATACCCATCCCAATGTCCAATTAGTGCTAAATTAAGAGGATTCCCATTTGTAAACTTGATTGTGTGTTGGAAAATATTAAAACATTCTGGACATTCCACAATCTTTTCGTCTTTTGAAGGCGTATTTGGTGATTTGCTTAGATGATCAGACGAGACTGGTATTCCACAGGAAGGACACAAAGTCGGAAGGGGCCAAATCTTCTGTGGATCCCAGAACCATTGGAAATCAACCCACCGCTGCCCATCCCATATTTCTCTTTTCAAATACCAACTTTCTGTTCTTCCGAGCCAGTGATTTCGTTTTTTCCAATGAGACAGCATTTTTTCACTGAGAGGTTTGCTGCGAAACCAATTTTTAACTTTACTGCTTAGTCCCAAGTAGTAATAGGTTAAATAACCATTATTGCCACAGTGAATACAAACATCATCCTTATTTTCCATGATACTGTATTTTCCATTATAGGAGACCTTTTTTTCATCTGAGCCTTCACAAACTCTCTTTTCTTGGTAGCAAATGCAAATATAGTACTGTTTGGCACCTTCGTACCCTTCCTCTCTGAGTAGTGACTGAACATCGTTCCATGATTTTGGCCACAATGTAGTGAAGACATCTCTATCAATGTTTTCACTACCGGTATCAAGAGTGGAAAGTAGAAGCCTTTTAGCATAGTCCAGGATGTCTTCAAAGGTTTCAATTGAAACTCCACTGCTTCTCTTTATTTTGAGTGCATCCAGGACAGCATTTACAACAACCTTTTGCATGGGATTTTCCTGCGATTGCACGTTATCAGTTTCGTTATTCGTAAATGCAGAATTATTTGCATGTTGATTAATACCGAGGTCAGAAAGGTCCGAACGACTTGTGTTCGAGTCTACAGTATCATCAGTTTCCATTTCTTCATCTTCGTTTTCAGAGTCAGAAGAGCTTTGCCTTTGGTTTGTAGTAGTTTGCATTGGATCATTAAAATTAGTCGCAAGATGGTCTTCATGTTCAATAACAATATTAAGTTGATTATAGTGGCGCAGTTCTGTGCTTCTATCAGTTGCCCGCCCATTGCAGCAAGAACAAGGGCAATGAACATGGCGATAAGATTTTTCTAGACAATTGCAGGTTGAAATATCACTTCTCTTCCAAATATTTCTGTTAAGCATAGTGAAATATATAATGCCTGTTTTCATTTATGGTTGAAGATATCCAGCAGTCAGCGGTCAGTGTTAATATATCGTAAGGACTTCATATAAATGTTTATATATCTACACTAAACCCTAAACCTCGGCATATTAATATATAAACCCCAAATATATCCCTGATAAATATAATAATGGTTATACCATAGCGGACCAAAACTTGGTGTTGATTTACCGTTTCTCGAAGCATTTCGCTGTTCTTTAAACCGAGTCCTTTAAACACTTGTATGTGCGCGCGCTAGCGTGAAGAATTTACACGCGCGTGTTTCCATGCTTTATTAATAAGTAAATATAATAGAACAACGACATGCTTCGATATTATAATATCCAGCCATACATTTCAAATTTTAGTTCATCAAAACCTTTTTCCAATTTCTCATATGTAACCTTTATAATTATAACTCAATGATGCATTTAATAACATGCCCGCAAGTGCACATGCCCGCAAGTGCACATGCCCGCACGTGCACATGCCCGCACGTGCACATGCCCGCCTAGTGCACATGCCCGCAAGTGCATATCCCAGTGACCATTTCGAGCAGACAAAACGCGCCAAATAACTCCATGTGGCTTGCGAAGAGGAATTGAAAAACCTGTTAGTTGTGTCTTTAAAAAATGGCAGATGCTAGCGCTGGTGAAGTACCTTGGTGTGAAATTCCAGATCAAACTCCATTTGAGAAGGACAACCTAAGTCCGGAAAAGATTTTGGAGGAAATCACAGAAAGTTTCGGAAAAGTTGTAGGGGATGCATTTCAAGGTGAGAAGAATGTTGTGTCATTGCTGGCGTGCGTGTTAAACAGTTTTTATTGTTTGTTCGATCTTAAGTTATATTTTTCTGTATCATTTAAAGTTTATTGTAATAGCGTTGAAGGTTCTTTCATATTCATTTCACTTTTATACAGACTTTCTAAATTGTGAAATTTACAAAATTTTGAAAAAATTGTTGACGTACTTTTTACAAATTAAACTTCATGTCGAGACGTCGGGTTTCAAAACAAAAGGCAAGCGTTTGACTGAAAGAAAAAATATTTTGGCTTGGATCTTATACTTTTAATATATTAACTTTTCGATGCAGTACAAATGAACATTTGTTAGGAAATGTACTTCTGCACTATTGGTAGCCTGTTACAGTTAAATATTTTAAAATATCGTTCCTGTGTTCGTGATATATGACGTTTGTTATGAATAATTTATATGTGTTGGACTAAATGTACCCTGGCTGTATATGTGATAATGTCTATTTAATAATAGGCCATATATACTAAAATTTGTTTCTGATCATGATTTTAAGTAATGTCTATATTAAAGTATAAAGTATAAAAAAAGAAAACTATATGCAAACATGCCTAACACGCGCGTATGAAAGCATGTTGACAAATTTCGACGTAATTTCCTCGGCCTTTATGGACATTGGGCAAATTTACATATACACTTAAGAAATTCAATAATTCACGAGGAAAATACAAAAGAAATGAATGTTTAATCAATGTTTGTAAATCGGATAAAGATTTGTCCTGATTTACTTCAACTTCAGCTTTGATTTTCTCGGCTTAACGGACAATATTGTTTATTTTTAAAATTACTTCGCCAATGAACTCGATCATAAGATGGGTCATTTTTAAGTACGAGTAAAACATCCGATCTGTATCTGATATACAAACTTTGGCTCGATCTAGTACATAAACTGCAAACAATTAAGTAGAATTGAATGTGTAGATCTCTACTATATAAGGTGGCGTTTTATAGTCATATAGACTAGACCAGCCTTATATACTTATTATTTTACAGTAAAATACGCTACGCCAGTAAATAAGAGAAAACTCAAGACGAACAACACAATATAAAGGATGTATTATACAACACGAAATCACAGATGTTCGCAAGCGCCGAGCGGGGCTTAATATAATTATATTGTCAACACTCAACACTGTTCGAGTGTCAATCAAAATACGTCGCTGTTTGATGTGACGTACTTCCTGTAACTTTAACATATTAATAATGCTAATGAATACGTCATTGTATGTGTGACATACTATAACTTTATATTAACATAACAATAACAATGTCAATGGTGGCGTTCTGTTAAAAAAATCACTATGTTTACTATGTTGTATGTTCAATAGCTAATTAATACAATATTATGATCTCTTAATTTATAATCCAATTGCTTATATAATTAGTGCATACTACATTTTCTATTATTTAATTCAGAACAAGATGCCACACATGTTGATGTTATCAAAGATCTAGTTAAGAGGGATGCTGACTCGTGTATATTTCAAAGACTGAAGATGTCCTATGGACAAGCAGTTAGATTCAAAGCAAAATTTTCCTATCTTTTTCCACCTGAAAAGGAAGCCATCAAAAGTGGCAGTATGAAAGATTTACCACCGCCTCTGAAACCAACAATGGGGCAACTCTCTTCCTTAGATCCAGCTGTGAAATGCCTTTATTTGTCAAAGTAAGTAACAATTTATTCAAGTTATTACTGTAAATTAAAATATCATATGCTAATAATGTATAAGTGTACGTTACTCAGTGCCAACATGCATGTCTGCAGATTGTACCTTGTAATATTATTGTCTAAAATTGTCAGTTATTTGTATAGGTAATAGTATGGTTTCAAGTGCAATTTGGAAAAATTAACATGCACAATTAAGTAAGTTTTTAAAAGACTATCAAAATTGCATGAGTCCGAAGGATGAGCAGGGCCATTCCTAGACACGATAATTGGGGGGAGGGGTGCAAATATATTCAGATATATTCATATACCGTAAAAACAATTATCGCTTTCAAAAGAAATCTGTTTGGCAGAACATAAATATATGAATATACTACCCCCCCCCCCCCAATTATCACGCTAGAAATGGCCCTGAAGACAAGTGCAATTAATTGAAGCCTTTGAAAAACTCATGAGTGTATGTTTTTTTCGAATTGTGTGAGAAACCATATTTGCTATTACTTATTAATGATATACATGAAAACAATTATGCAGTCACATGCCTAAGTCACATTTAGAAATTAAGAAAATTAAGAAAATGAAAAAATTAAGAAATTTGCACTGTACTGTATTTTATTTTTTTGGCTCTGTATTTTGAAAAAATTGCACTCAGCTCTTCAGAGCAGTATCAGAATTGAGAATTTTTTCATGTATATTATTAGTTAGATTATTCTAATTGTATATTATTAGTTATATATATATATATTGGATGTTTTCAGACGAAAACAGGTTGGAATGCTTGCTACAGCTCATTGGAAAAATTCCTTTCCAAAATTTAACACACCACAAAAAAGGATAGAGCTGGTAGAATTTGCTTCAAGTATAGCTGAAGAATGTTCAGTTCCAGCAGCAGGATTCAATAAAGAAGGAATTGCAAAGCATATTCAGGATTACTTCAATGAGCAAAGAGATATAATAAAAAAAGGAAACTGGTATGGATTAAAACTTTCCAGCATTTATATAGAAAAGTGCAATTGTACGTGTCAAGTCAAAAGGCTGTAACATGTTCTGATATCCCGGTTAAATACAGGTATTCCCATTAACAAAAGCTATACAGAATAGAACCATGCATTTGGAGGGGGGTATATTCATATTATATTCATGTTCACATACCGTAAAAAACAATTGCTTTCAAAAGAAATTCGTTGGACTTAACACAAATATATGAATATACAGATACACTCCCACCCCAATTATCGCGTCTAGGAACGGCATTGCAGAAAGGGTATTTTGCAATTGTCCCCTACTACAACATGTCGAGCAATGTGTTTAGTTTGTTTGTTTGTTTGTTAACTCTAATTCTGATTTATACCATAGCTAGTTCACTTTTTTATGCCCTGAGAATGAACTGAAAATCTACTGGAAATTAACCTGAAATTGCTCATGAACAATGTTTGGGGGGTGTTGACCCCCCCCTCTTGCACACCCCACTGCTATAGCCCCCCCCCCCTCTTGCACACCCCACTGCTATAGCCCTGGAACCTAATTTAAATTTCGTTTGAATTTGAAGTTAAATTTGTTGTTGTGATATTATTACTGAGCTTAATTATCTCTAGCTAGTATATATAATCCTTTTCATATTTAGGATCACACCTACAGTTCTGGTTCGTCAACTTCAGAAGAGCCTTTCTCAGTGAGTCCAGAGCTGATCCTAAAGACGGTATATTGTACTAATTTCATTCTAGCTAGCTAGTGTTTATCACATATTTTTGCACGTTATTGACCTGACAATTTGTCTTAAATCTTCTAGAAAAAACCTTGTGAAAAAATGGTAATCTCAGACTGCAAAGATGGTGAAAGTCAGAATAACCAAGTAAATGTACTGTAAATTAACTATCAGCAACCATTAGCTAAGCTGGCAATCATTGCCCAGATGGACATAGCTACAGTACAATGGGCTCTACTAACTTCCAGAGGAAGAGCCTTCACTGAAAACGTCAAAATTTCGTTGATATTTTCCAAATAGTCTGTACGTCTTATTCACACACTCAGAAGCATATTCAAAAAATACCTCCACTAGCTGATGAGTGGTCCCTAATTAACGTTAGAGATATATACTACCATACTTTATAAGGTAATTTTAGTTCAGTAATTAGGTTATTAATTAATTGTTGTCAGCATTTTAAATTGCACTTTTGAATGGACAACTAGTATGTGTCTCTTAATTTGTATACTGCCCCACATGCTTGTGTTTATCCAGTTGGATTGTCCAACTTTAGTATGTACTTTTACAACCGTAGCTCTGTCTAGACGGTTAATAACTCACTATCTATATCTAATGAATATCGCCAATTTAATTATTTTTACCTAAAAGATTAAATTCTATTTTTAATATTTAGGATGATAGCAGTGAGAATGAGAGCCTTCCATCAACAATCTCTGCCAGAAATTCTGACAATGACGAGAATGATAGCTTACAAGACTCCCAGTCTCCACCTTGTACACAAAGTGATGTGCTCAATGACCCTAAATTGACACCTAAAGCTTGCAAAAAGATTATCAAGGCAGTTTGTGGAAAGATATTGGACAGGGAGGAGACTGTTAAGCTACTAAAAAGTAAATTTGGCATGCCAGCAAGAAGTTTGACATCTTTGACTCCCTCACAGCTTCTAGAAGTGGCATCCAAAAAGTTGTTAAAAGGAAAGTATGTGGAGATTCCTCATGATATCAATCCGAGTGAACTAAGCAAAAGTGTATGCTCATTGACGGTCAAAAAGGAGATTGAACTGTGAACTATTTAAACTTACATGAACAGGTACAATCAAATATGGGAATAAGTAAAACTATTAAGTCCCTCAGGAGTGAAGTAAACAAAAACACTTTGGTTAATCTATAACAATATATACCATTTACTGTTATTAATATTATTATCCTCATTTTATCATTGACCAGTCATGCAGCTAGTGTATGTTGTATGGAATTTGTTTTTGAACTTCCTAATCAACAGTTTAATTAAACAGACTGACTAAAATATACTTTAACTGAACCCTGTTCTGATTGGGTGCTATCTCATATCATATCTAGCTTGTGACTGGTTTAATTAATTATTTGATCATGTACTGTAAACCTCCAAATATAAGCCCCCCCCCCAAAAAAAACCATTTAGTCCCTCCGATCCCTGTGTATAAGCCCATGTTCACCTCATTCCGAATATAAGCCCCTCCCCCTGAATATAAGCTCCCCTCCCAAATATAAGTCTTCTGAATATAAGCCCAGTAATGTAGCCCACTACGTTATTCAGCATTGACCTAGCTTGATAGCAGAGAACAATATTTAAAAACATTGTCATTAATTGTCATTCAAAGCATGTTATTGATACATGTTTATTTAATTTCCTGGTTATGACTGAATTGTTTACCACCAAGTTGGGTGAACACAAAAGATTTTCCATGTATTATACCCACCCCCGTATATATAAGCCCCCTTTGTATAAGTCCATCAAAAATCGCTTACGAATTAATATAAGCCCAGGCCGGGGCTTATAGTTGGAGGTTTACAGTAGTAAGTGGTTCAGTTGTGTTGTTGTATTGTTGTATTGTTATATTTATACATATATGGCAGTAAGTTTGTTTTAGATGATCGATTAAAAGTTGGTAATTAAAATTGAATTCTATTTAGGACATGGTTTCTATTTTGAAAATGGTTTCTATTTGGGACAGGAATATCCCAGAGTTGGGATATGTGTGGAAAATTGAACATCCAATACTGGGTAAAAGGTGACCCAGTTTAAACCCAATTTTGGTTTCTATTTGGGTCAATATTAACCCAGAGTTGGGATATATGTGGGAAATTAAACATCCAATACTGGGTAAAAGGTGACCCAGTTTAAACCCAATTTTGTTTTTTTTTTGGGTCAAGATTATCCCAGAGTTGGGAGATAAATGGAAATTTTATGATCCAAGAATGGGTTTGGTAGCACTTTCCCAACGTTGGGTTTTACCAAAAATATCCCCAAAAAATCCCAATCATTTTCCATTTTTTACCCAAAATCGGAAATCCAAATTTTTTCCTGTGAAAGATGCAAAACGGTAGTCTATATGTAATGGATCAGCATTTAAATTTCCAACACAGTTTCCGAGACGTAATTCAAGAGATAACTTATCATTGCATTTGAACTACTACATCAGTTGGTGTTATACTGTGCGATAAGCGAATATTATTGGAAATAGGGCTTCCATATACGTTGCAATCACTAAATAAACAGCTCATGTACACATTTTTCCACTTCGTCGTAAGTTTACACAGCAGATTTTATACTTTGGGACTGTTCTTTGTCTTTGATGTGACCATTTATTCTTATAGTTTACGGTTATTTAAGATTTATCCTAAGTGTTCTACCAGCAACCAATCGACAATATTTCATTTTAGCGTTGTCTTTGCCGTTACGTTGGCTTCGCGTTACATTTGTATTAAATACCTTGATCGCATTAAAAGAGTTATTTTTCAGGCCAGTGACATAGCCAAAAGACTTCACATTAATGTCCTTGTGATTTTATAGAGATATCTCTAGAACTGAGGATTTTAGAAAGCGTTATCTGCACTTTCTCAAAGTTGTAGACAAGATATGTTGTTTAAGTTTACACGGGCGATTTTTGCTGCGATTTTAGTTGCGATTTTCTCCTTTTGGAGGATGTGAAGGAGTGGGTGAGTTATAAATGTTCCAGATTATTAAAACTCATAACAACATCATTAAGTAATCTATGCATTCGCGTCCTCCAAAAGGAGAAAATCGCAACTAAAATCGCAGCAAAAATCGCCCGTGTAAACGGGCCTTAAGATTGCATAATTCAAAGTGATTCGAGCAAAACCGGTCTTTTGTTAAAAGGAAGATTGGTTAATAGAAATTGGTCCTTTTGAGTGAATCTCATAATCATAATCGTGTATCGTCATCGATCCGTGTCGTTGAACAATGAAAAATTTGTCGTGAAATTATTGAAGATAAACTAGTAAACTTATCAGTAGTAAAGGCTGACTTGCTCCTCAATTTGACGATATATCAAAACGGCCTCATCTTTCCACATTAACAACCCCAGTTTACTGTAAATACAATCGTAAGCTCCTAACCCATTGTAACTGTAAGCTCAACACTAACTTCATATTGTGACGTCATTATTGAAAATATTATTAATAATTCCTTGTTTCGGTCACAAATATATTTCTCTTTAATCTTGACAGTAATCATAACACGGCATCCCTAATCCTGGCTTGTTTGAGCGCGAAACATGAGAATCTAACCATAAACTATTTCTTAATCTTTCTATCCTACAATTACTCTAATATATCTGTGACATCAGAACGATAATAGTATGGAAACTTGCACCCATTGTTTTAACCTTTTCACTAGACCACACAGATTATTCCATGCTTTTAAATACACAACGATACACTGTATCATTATTAAAGACCATGCACAAACATTACTTCAAACTATTACATAGTGTACAGTGAGTGCGGTATGTACTATTTAAAACACGAGCTGCCGAGTGCTTTATCAGATATAAAACACGAGAACGCAGCTCAAGTAAAGCACGCACTGGGAATGTTTTAAATGACTTAAACGTAAAAGCCTACAGTAGTTCCCAGTCATATACCAGCGGTATGTTGACTGGCTATTGACATTATAGCAGTTCAACCAAATTATAATTCACAAAAGAATGTATCCATCAACAGTTGTAAACAATGATAGCGCAGGCATACCGCAGGCATGCATGCATGTGTGAACAAGGCAAAAGTAAAGTGCTTAGCTGATGTTTCACTTTGTTTGAATAGGATTCCTCGCCAAATTGCCTTTCTTTTGAATTTACTAATGCGAAGTCGTTTATAAACTGAATACCGAACAACATGGAGCGAAACTTGCATCCAAGGACGTCAAATTAAAGTCATGTTAGTTTGGAAACTAGAGTTGAGGACATTCAACACATGCCTGACATTCATACCGTAAACCTCCGACTATACGCCCTGGGCTTACATGTATATACTTCCGTAAGCAATTTTTGATGGGCTTCTACAAGGGGAGGGGGGCTTATATACGGGGGGCTAATACATGGACGATCTTTTGTGTTAGTAATAAACAAGTCAGACATAAACAAGTCAGTCATAAACAGGAAAATAAACATGTAAAATGCGCTTTGATTGACATGGTCGACTATAAAGGCAATGACAATGTTTTTAAATATCGTTCTTTGCTATATTAAAAGACAATGTCAATGTTGAACAACGTAGTGGGCTACTGGGCTTATATTCGAGGGACTTATATTTGGGGCGCTTATATTCGGGTAGGCTTATATTCGGGGGGGGGGGCTTATATTTGGAATGAGGTGAGCCTTAGTATATGTGATGGGCTTATATTCCAGGCTGCTTATATTCCGGGGGCTTACAATCGGAGGTTTACAGTATAACAAAAGCATGATCAATGATAAAAAACATTCCATGCATATGTCACAGAATAAAGATCAGTAACTGAAGGGCCACTCAGGCGTGCAACCTGTCCTCGTTTTTTTATGCAACAATATGCAGTTTACTGGCCAGAAGGCGGAGCAGCCAGCCAGTACAGCGTGTTTCTTCGCCAGAAAATGTCATTTGACTGGCCAGGAAAATGGCGGCCAACATGCGTAATGCGACATGCGCGAGTACAGAAACTTCAAAGCTTGCAACGTAAGTGGCCCTTGTGTATATAGATCTTTATTCTGTGCACATGCAAGCTTCAATCCCACTGTAATTGCCCCTGGTTCCGTTGCGTTTTTAAACCATGCAAATATATATAACATTATGCTGTGTATACAGTACAGTGTACTATGCTTTTGCTTTCCAGTCAAAACGTCCCCAGGTCAAAACGTCCCCAGGTCAAAACGTCCCCAGGTTAAAACGAACCGAACTCAAGTCAAAACGTCCCCAGGTTAAAACGTCCGCAGGTAAAAACGTCCCCAACTCAAGTCAAAATGTCCTCAGGTCAAAACGTCCCCAACTCATTTCAAAATATCCCAAATAAAGTCAAATCTGTTGGCTAAATGTCAGATATTCTGTCAGTTGTAAAGTAATTTTAAATAATATTTTTTGGATTTCTTCTGATCTGATCAAGGAACTAAATCAAGCACGGTTTGATATATTCAACCAGGGTCAGATAGTTATGATTTTATTAGTCACAGTTCAATTTATTTGAACACAAGAGTTAGCAGTTTTTGCCCTGGGGACGTTTTGGCCTGGGGACGTTTTGACTGTGCGGAGTCCGGGACGTTTTAACCTGGGAAGTTTTGACTGGATACCATGCTTTTTGGCAGGCAGAACTACAGTACATAGTAAAGTACAACAAAAGTTAGAGGCATAAAACCTATTAATATATCACTAAAAATGACTGATTAAGCAACAATTAATCCAGTAAGACTTTAGCTTAAGAACTCCCCCTATTTCATTAAATACTACACCCTATTGCATTAAACTTTGGGAACACTACACCCATACATGCAGAATTGTGAACAATGTTAAACTAAGGCATTATTCTCAATATGAGGCCATTAACTCCTGTTTTCACAGGAATCGTTCAGTAAAAACTTCATTATTGAGCCCCCCGAACTTGACGAGACATTGTGATACATACATGAAACTCATTTGGGAAACACACAAAGCATATGCAATTATTTTCAGTATTAGAACAGCCATGTAGCTAAAGAACAACAAAAGTTAGGGTCAGAAAACCTATTAATATGACTAAAAACGACTGAAGCAATAATCCAAT